TAGAATAAACCAAAGACATTTTTAGAAAACAAAAATTTTTTAATTTATCATTTGAATTAACTTTCATAATGAAAATAAATCATAGGAATTAATAGGATAAAAAGAAAAAAACAGACGATGCTGTTGTTTAGAATAAATTAACAATAAATCGAAGTAAATCAGATGGAATCATTGAAAATAATGATAAAAAACATATTAAATTAAGTCCATATACTAAATTGTATGAATATGTCTTATCTCATCTTGATCTTATTTGTTATCGTTTATATGGATCTCAATCAAATAAATTTGAAAGAATCATTTGGAATGTATTTGAAAATTATACTCAATTATTATTTCGCTCACGACTAACTCAAGTATATAAATCAATGCCAAATTCGAAATTAAAAACAGTTCGAAGTGTTTTTATTCGTTCAATTAACAAATATGATTTTGTTGAAAATGAGATTTATATTCAATTAAAGATATTTATTCCTTTTTTTTTCTTCAAGATAAAAATTCATGTTTAACACCATCAAAGGATATATAATTGGTGATATAACTAGTTTTTATAAAGAAATATTTCTTAACATTCCGAATCTAGATAAAAATTTAAAAGAAAATCAATTAATTGATCTTCCTTATAGTAATAAAACATTTGAAAATATTAAATCAGGACATGTTAACGTAAATAGATCTTCAATTAATTATTCATCAAGTAAAATTCAAACAAATCCAACATCGAATATTTTATCATCATCGATTCAAGTAGGTAACCTTTTGTTCTTTTCTTTGTTTTTTATTTTATTATTGATTATTTATTGTCAATTGTATAATTAAATATTTATTTAATATTATTTCTAATAAATATTGATCATGATAACTATATATTAATTATTATATTCAACAATAACAAATATATATACAAGTTATTTAATCGACAATGAATTAAAATATAGATGATATATCGATCCTTAACAAGATAATTCATTAAAAAACAAAAAGAAAAAAAACAGAAGTCGAATTCTCTATTGAATTTTCGATATAGAATTTTTCTTTTTAATAAAATCTACGTTGGAATTAAATATTTGATTAGATTTGAAAAATTTTCATTAAAAAATTCTAGTCAAATAAGTAAAATCTTAGTTGAATTAATTGAAATAGAATTTATTTATTAGATTCTTCTCTTTTATATAATATAAAACAAATAAGAATATTTGTCTACAATTAAATAAATACATAAGAACTATTTTTATATTTCGACCAATTTTATTTAACTTAATTGAATATATTATTCAACATCATATTGACATATAATAATATAAAATTTATTTATTTATTCAAACATTTTTTTTTCTCTCATATTATGTAAATTTATGAAATAAATAAATATTTAGTAAAACAGTTGTTAGTTGACCTATTCAAATAAACAAGTAATTAACATATTAAATAAAATAATAATATTATTTATAAAATTTATTAAATCTAATTAAATTGAAATCATATGAATCATATTGAAATTTTTTTCTTTTTTTTTCTTTAAATAAATAAATTCTAGGTGCAAATGATACAGTACGAACGACTCGAATTCGAATTAAAGATGGTAAATTTTTAACAACTATTTCAACAATATCAAAAGTAAGTAATTCGAATGATAATCAAGATAATATTCTAATTAATAGAAATGAAAAAAATCTTTTTTTTTGGTCAATTAACAAATAATTCTATTAAACGAATATTTTCCGATGATTCAAATTCAAATTGTTTAACAAAAAAAGTTTTACAAATTGAAAAAGATCGACAAAAAATTGAAGAATATTGACTTTTTCTTTTTTTTTTTTTGATTATTTTATATCTGACATTTATTAACAAATAAATAAAAGAAAAAAAGAACAGTTTGCTAATTTAATATGTATGGATGGATTGTTTCAACATGAATAAAAACTTCAATCTGTCGTCTATCCTAAGAAAAAAATCAGCTGGGGTGTGGGTGCTAGTTACCAAAGGAGCACTCATGCCCACACCCACACCCACACCCACACCCTCAAGGAAATATTATTTGCCGTTTCATTCATACCTATTTTGTACCTTCATTACCATCTATACATTGTCCACATGTTGGTTCAACTGGAGGAGGAGCATGTACTGATAAAACAATCGACTTTTATTATAATCAACCAAGTTTTCTGGCTTGTGCTCATAGACAATAATAATAAAATAAAATCATGTTCTTTTTTTTTCAATTTAAAGTTTAAATAATAAATTGATATCATTCATAAATAATTACGCGAAAAATAAGATGTAAAACTGATTTGGTAATTCGACTTGATAACTGTGCTTCTCTATTAACGTAACATTCAAATAACTGTTAATATATATGTATCTCTTTAAAATCATAGAAATATCGGAATGTTGAGATATGAGGATGCTATCTGAATCTAATTTTAATATATTTATTTGTCAGTTGATCAAGATTTTCTAAAAAGTACCTGTTGAGAAATAACCATGTGGAAAATAAATGTCATAAATTTAAAAAGACTAAGAAAAAAAAAACATTATTCAAATTTCTATACGAGTCATTTTTCATCAATATATAATCATAGAAATCACAATAGTATAAGCAATGATCATGTCATGATACAAAATAAATGAAAGTTTCAATCATCTTTAAGAAAGTACAGTTGACAGTAGTGTCTTATTATTTTGTTTAATTTCTTTTCTTTTTCATTGTTCTGTCATGTTGTATATGTGAATTAAAAAGAAGATTTTATAAATAGTTTGATTTATTTTTGTTTCATTGAATATTTTATCTTTTTTACTGAAAGTTTAAAAGAATTTGTTGAGGTAAAACTTTCTAACAATAAAGAAAAAATGTGGCTTTTTAATGGAAGTGAAGCAGTTACCATAACTAAGCTCGACATTGCTTGAGGATCTTATCAGATAGTTTATTTATTTGTAATTCAAAAAAAGAATCTTAACAAGATATATCTTCAATTTTACACAAAGAATTTGTCCTCTGAGACTTTACGAACGAGTTACGTTGCATTCTTATTTCAATTCTCACTACATGAAATAGTGAAGTGAATAAAAAATCATATTGTAGAGTGTGTTTTACTGTATCTTTTCATCATAAAGACAAATTTTACAAGTATCGAATCAAGTTTTCTGGTTTGTTCTTTATGCAACGAAGAAATAATTTAAGAAATCGTAATCACAAAAAAATGGTCTAATATGTGCATGTTCTTTATTGTGTTTTCTGGATGAACTTGTATTTTTTTTTGTTTTTTGTTAACAAGTAAATAGCTTCTCGTGAATTTTCAGCTACAATACTGAGTTTTAATGAGTAGTTTCGTCAAGAATAGAAAACAAGTTATAAGCATAGTTTCTTCTTTTCGCATTACAAGAATTCTTGATAGAATAATGTAAACAAATCTTTTTATGAAGTCGGTGCTAGTAGCATATCTAGAAATACGAATGATAACAAGAAAGACAAATACAAAGATCAATGACAACAGCAACTATAACATCTTTGTCAGACAACAAGACAAAATATAATTTGTGTGCACGAAACATGGATATACGATATTAATCACATTGAAAAACTATCTCCAATATCCTACGAAAATGCAACATTAATTTTTCATCATTTTAAGATTTATTTACGTATTGATTTTACTTTAGAAATATCTCTGAGGAGAACCTAAGAGATATATAGCTATATTACAATGTGTAATAAATATATAGAGACAAAACTAGATAAGCTAAATTTACAATAATGATATATCAATGTGAGTAAGAACCAAAAAGAATATTTATTCGACGATGGTTAATTCATCATTTCATCAAAAATTGATACAGAAACAGTTTCGAATTATTTCGGAGCAAAACTTTTATCGTTGGCCCATTGAAAAAGATCCCTAAATATGACTCACCATCAAGTGATGGTAGTACAACATCAACAATTTATTAATATGAGTTAAAGATTCTTATTTAAAATACATATGTTCTAAAAAGTCTGAATATCAGTCCTTAAAATTAGAATAACCAGTAAGAAAAAAGTAAAATAATGAATAGCAATAATATTTATTTCTTTGGAACTATCATCTATACCTGATAAATCATTACAAATAGTAATTATAAATTCAACATCAATATCTTTATCATAAAGACTATTATTATCAATCAAGTGATATTTCGAAAAGAATTGATGTATGAAAACAAATATATGTTCCAAAATATTTTACAATAAAGCTCGTTTAGTAATTAATTGATGTAGAGCTTCATTAAAAACTCAAACATGTACATGTCTTGTAACGCGATTTAACATCAGATATACACAATATCTAGACTGTTGTTTACAAATTAAACTAATTCTTTGGGACGGTGGAACGTGTTCACATAATTGTTGATCTTCAGGGCGTGACTTATAAAATGACAAAAAAAAAGTCATTTGTGATGAATAAACCATACGTATTCTTTAATGTTGTTTGAAATTCATTGATGAAAATCGTGCTTTTAATTCATGAAAATAACATGATGAGAAGGATACAAAAAGAAAGACCTTGAATTCTGTAAAAAGGATTCAAATTTATTATCATGTGACTCAAATCGTACAAAACCAATGAAAGTAATGAAGAAATCTTAGTTTTCGAAAATAATCATCATTATGCAATGAAAATGATGTCAAAGTAAAGAATGAAATTTCCTACATGTAAATTCAAACAATAACCATTGAAATGAATTGTTTTTGATTTTTTTTTTAGTCACTGAGTTACGGCTGTGAATGTGATGTAAATAGAATAAGTACATATTCATTCACAACTTTTTACAGAAAATTATAAAAGAAATGAAAGAGACATCGTCCGACTGGCGATAAATTGATCGTCGATGAAAATGATTATCTCATCAATGATTGAACTAATAATCAAAACTCAATTATCTATTAATCATTATCATTGAGTGATAGTTCATGTTTTTCAAACATTCTATATAAGGAATGATTTTCTTGTATAAAATCATTCAATTCAATCGATCTATTGTATCAACAATAGATTGAGTAAGTATTCTAATAAATTGTTTTTTTTTCAGGAGGTGCAAGATACAATTATGTACATAATTATGATATTTATACATTTACATATTATATATATATTCCAATCTTAAATAGGATATGTTGTTTCTTTTTTTTTCTCTTAAAAAAAGGAATAATAAAGAGTATTGAGTTTAGCTTTTCTTTCGTATTGGGATAAAAAATTTATAAATAAGTTGAAAAGTTCTATTGGCCACTAGAACTTTTCAAGTTATTTTTTCGATAAGTTAGATGTAATCTATTTCGTATGGAATAATGTTTTTTATTTCTTTCGTACTTATGTTATGATATAGAGAGCGATAGATACTATTTTATATCACAGCCTATTAGGTGGCTTCGTAACCTAACCCAGGGAGATTTCTTGTGCCTGTTATGGAGAAAGCAGTGTAGTACTCGGGAAGGCCGCCTGTTCGTAGGTCCCTGTCGTCGTTATTGTACGATATACCTACGATCATGCCCAACCAGCCCGGCGTGGTACGCTCTGCGTGTATCCATATCGGGCTTACAGGAAGTCTTCCTGGTCGCGCGCGTGCGTACGCGAGAATGAGCCGGGAAAAGCGAAATCAATTGTAATGCAAATAAATTTATTCAGCAAATTGAAAAAAAAACAAATTACATTTTCTTTCGAATTTTTTCAAATGTTTCTCTATATTCCAAAATATGAGGATGATTTGAAGGTAATTTTTCTTGAGCAATTTCTACGGCTTGTTGAACATTTTTCATTGCCATATTATATTGTCGAGTAGATAAATACAATTTCGCCAAATTGTGATATACTACAGCTAAATCAGGATGATTTTTTGGTAGTTTATTTTCACGTATTTCTAATCCTTTTTGATAATATGTCAATGCCGTTGTATAATCTTTCATTTGACGATATGTTTCACCTAAATTTATATATGTCGTTGCACATTCGAGAGGACTACATTGAACATTTTCTTGAATATTTAATGCTTTTCGATGAAATGAAATTGCCTTCTCATAATCACCCATTAACCGATGAACATCACCAATATTACTGTATGTAATACCAAAATCTGGATGATTTTCAGGTAGTGTTTTTTCATCTATTTCAAGGCATTTTTGCAAGTAATCGAGTGACTTTGAATAATCGTTCATATTGCGATAAACACTTCCTAACCTACTGTAGGTAAAAGAAAAAGCTGGATTACCTTCTTCAAAAGCTTTTTGCTGAATTTGATAAGCATTTTTAAGGGCTTTAAGAGCTGTTGTGTAATCACCCATTTTTTCGTAACATGCTGCAAAATTCAAATAACTTCCAGCCAAATCTGGATGATTCGAAGGCAGAGCTTTTTTTCGTATTTCAAGTGATTTTTCGTAAAATTCAAGTGCTTTCGAGTAGTCACCCATGCAATTATACACTAGACCAATGTTGCTGTACGAAGTAGCCAATGAGGAATGATTCGAAGGCAGAGCTTTCTCGTAGATTTTATGTGATTTTTCGTAAAATTCAAGTGCTTTCGAGTAGTCACCCATGTTCCTATACACTTGACCGATGTTGCCATATGAAGTAGCCGAATCAGGATGATTCGAAGGCAGAGCTTTTTCGCAGATTTTATGTGATTTTTCGTAAAATTCAAGTGCTTTCGAGTAGTCACCCATCTGGTTATACGCAATTGCGATATTGTTGCACGTATGGGCCAATGTTAGATGGTCATTCGGGAGTGTTTTTTGGTCGATTTCGAGTGCTTTCTTGTAAAACGAGACTGCTT